TTAGCGACTGATTTTGCTGTTTTTCTGGAGGAGAGCTGCCCTCTGCAGGAATTGTGTAGGTGTCATCTGCACAATTGCAAGAATGTGTAGATATAATCTGGAACCTCTTCCCTTTGTGACAGCCACAGTAGCAATAGATTTACGGGATTTTGGGTTTTTTATTTTTTAACAGAAATTGGTGGTTTGGTTGGTTTGTTTCTTTTTTTTTTTTTTTTTTAGGAAAAGATAAAAACTAGAGACTTTGCAGAAACAAAAACTCTGTGATTCTGTGCATCCTTGTGAAAATACATAAGCAATACTAACACTACTAATTAGGTGTTTAATGATGCTGGGATGTATCTGATATACATTCATTATCTTCTCTCCAGAGCTCTGAAGAACTGCAGCTTTCAGTGGACCACATCAAGCAGATTATTGGGATTTTAAGGGACTTTATCCACTCTCCTGAGCAGAGAGTGATGGCTTCTACCATATCCAAGCTGAAAATGGATTTGGACTTTGACAGCACCTCCATCAATCAGATCCATCTGGTGCTGTTTGGATTCCAGGATGCAGTGAGTTCCTTTCCTGATGCAAGGCCAGAGGAATTCTCTGAAGGAATTCTCTGAAGGAATTCTTTGAAGGAATTCTCTGAAGGAATTCTTTGAAGGAATTCTTTGAAGGAATTCTTTGAAGGAATTCTTTGAAGCAGCACAGAATGGTTTAGGCTGGAAGAGACCTTAAAGATCATCTATTCCCAACCCCCCATGGGCAGGGACACCCTCCAGTACATCATGTTGCTCCTAGACTGAGCTCAGCCCAGGGATTCACAGCTTTTCCACTGTTCCTCACTCCTCTCCCCTCTTGTACTGTAGAAGGGTTTGAATGTCACAGTCTGGTTTGAAATGGTTTCAAAGCTGCAGCCTAAAACTGTCCAATCTGTTGTTTAGACTTTGAAAGGTGGGAGGGTTTTAGTGCTGCATGCAGTTTTACCTTATAAAGCTTCTATGACTATTGGAAAATACGATTCTCCTTCCTGAGGTGTGAGCAAATGGTGTTTGTGCTGCTTTTCCAGGTGAACAAAGTGTTAAGGAATCATTTAATAAGGCCCCACTGGATGTTTGCAATGGATAACATCATCCGCCGGGCAGTCCAAGCTGCAGTCACTATTCTTATTCCAGGTAAATCAAAGCAGCTGAAAATAATCCTCTTTCAAAAAAGGTTTCTCACACATCAAAGAGTTGCAGCAAATGGAAGAGCTCAGCTGTTGAATCTGTCAGAATGCCATTAACTGCACCCCGTGTGCCACTCATCAAAGCTCGGGGTCAGAGTGCTGCAGAGAAAGAATTCTTCATCTGCAAGATTAATGCTGTACTTGCAGTGCAAAAGCACATAATGAGAAAAAAAACCAGTGTTCTGCACCTCCAGTGTGGTCCAACCATGACAAAGAAAAAAAGCAAATTAAATTCAGTCCAAGCTGGAGATTTTCCAGTAAGAAAGAAAATCATTCTGTAGGTATTAATGGCATCCAGGTTGGGTAACACTGCACGGGTTTGGTTACGTGTTGTGAAAAAATATTAATGAGCTGTGGAACAGAAGGGATTGCATTAATGTGAGGAAGAGGATGATTCTGGCCCAATGGAAACAGGGAAAATCACCAGGAGGAGGAGGAGGAGGAGAAGTGTTTAGGAATGAGTTAAGCTGGAAATACAGGAGTACTTGTGTAACTCTTTACAATGCTGAGCACCCCTTCCAGTACAGGAATGTTCTGGAGGTTTAGTGACAGTGAGCCCTTTCAGTGCAAAGTCACCACGGCTTTTAAAGCCAAATTGGCAAAATTTTTTAGGACTTTTGTTTGTACAAGAGAAATGGCAACTGTTCTTTGGTATAAGGGTGGCCACCTGCAGCAGGTTCTGAGAACTGGGGCTGGAAATGCTACCTGGAGAGGAGGAATTCTTTGTACACTCTTGGGTATAAGGGGAAAACACCAACTTTTTTTTTTTTCCACTGTTTAGGAAAAAAGCAACCTTTCAGGGGTTTCTCCTTGATATATTTTAACTGTCTTATTATTTATCTCATGATATTTGTCCCCACTGCAAATGTGACCTACAGTTCTACCTTTCCTGTTGCACTGCTCATTCTGGAACCAATGCCAGAAAATCTGCTCCAGCTCACTCAAGGCTTCACTGCCCCCCTGCTCAGTATTGCAATAAAGCACATTGTGCAAACAGTAATGAAGAACAAACTGCATCACCTTGAAAGACAGAATTATCCAAAAAAATCTCCTTCTTCCCCTTTGTTTGCACCAGAGCTTCGCACTCACTTTGAGCCAGCCTCAGAAACTGAAGGTGGGGACAAGGACACGGATGAGGTGGAGGAGAATTTGCAGCCCTTGGAGCCAAACGGGGCTGAGGACGCTGCTGTCACCTCGGGGCTCAGCACCCTCAGCTCTGGGCTGTCACACCACGCTCAGCAGCAGCTCAGCCAGGAGCTGGGCACACTCCAATGTGGCACTTTAAGGTAACTCTGCTGTAAAGACTCTGGGTGAGTGTTCAGGCAGGCTGGGAAAAGCTCTGACCTTGCTTTTCTCACTGATGGGGATGTTTTTAGCCATAGCACTGCTCACCTACTGCCCTGTGATAAAACCTTCCAGGAGCACAGATGGGTTTGGAATACACCAATATGACAACTGGACATGCTTCAGTACAGCCTTTTTTCTCTGTAATTAATCTTTTAATTGCTGAATGTCCCATTGGATCTCAACTGTTAATTGGGTTTATATAAACTGTACTTTTTGGATGCCCAGTATCTCTAAGCTGTTCCTGCAAGGAAAGGCAGAGCCTTTCCTTGTCCTAGAATGTCCTCTAATGAGCAGCAGCAGAGCTCAGCAGAGCCCTGCCCTGTTTTTCATGGGTTTTATGTGTAAGATGCTGCCAGGATGTTGACAGCTGAAGTTTCCATTCTTCTTTCTGGATGTGATGTGAATCCATGATTAGAAAGTCCCTGGTAAAATATCAGTGTTACATTGTTCAGCAGTAAATTACAGCATTAAGGCAGCAACTCTGCCCAGGGAGACTGCAAAACAGTAGGAACAGAATTTATGAGCTATTTACTAAATTCTGCATGTGAAAGCCTTCAAGTGGCACCCCTGAGTCTCAGACAACCAAAAAGAAATCTAAGCCATTAGAGATGTTACTTATCACAGTACCTCACAAATACCTCTGTGGTACTCATCAAAAATGACAGGATTTTTTCAGTTTATTCTCAGTGTGGTTGTGTTTGATCTCTCTTAAGGCTTTTGGAAAACCTCATTCAGAAGGAGAAAGAGTATCAGAGCCTCTTACGACAATCTTTGGAGCAGAAGACTCAGGAATTACATTTGCTTCAATTAAAACTTAAACCCAAAGGTATGAGGAGATAGTGCAGTTACACAGAAACACATGGGATCATGGGTTGGTTGAAAGGATGCAGAATCATATAGTTTTAAGCTTCAGTTACCTGAAAACAACCACTTTTGCCCTGGTTTTGAGGTGGTTCAACCATTGTTTGTTTTCCATTAAAGACTCCCAATGCTCTGCAGCAAATTCTGGAGAAAATGCAGACCCAGAGCTCATGAACTGGTTGAAACAACAAGGAGCAGACTTGGATACCATTCAGAGGGTAAAAAAATCACATTTAAAAAAAATCCCTAATTTTAGTCATAATTAGCAGTTTGGTTTCAAAGAAAGAATATTTATTTATGAATAAATTTGCCTTTTAGTTTGCTGAAGAAGATTATACACTGAGTGCTGTCCTTAATGACATCACCAAAGATGACTTGTGGTATCTTCAGCTGCGGTAAGAAAGTGCTTGTTAATTCATTGTTAAGAGCTTCATTAACATATTTTGTTAAAAACCTTTTAAAGTTTAGTTATTCACATAGAACAGTGATGGTTCAGAGGCAACTGCTGTCAGTTTGACCTCAGATTTTCTGATAAGATGTGAAAACCTTTAACTGACACAACTCCACCAAGGATGCTTCGAGCCATCTGTTTTGGTATTTATCAAGATTGGGACCCATTTCTGCACCCTTCACAATGATGAAATCACATGGAAAGCTTTGTTTTTCCTACCCATTGATGATAAAAGGACTTGAATCATTCTGTTAAGCTGTGGCTGACCTGGAAGAAGTTTCAGCTATAATTATGGAATAGTGCAGTTTGTTATGTGCTGTTATAACTGCTCTATCCTCGAGATTTCTGTTTTATTTCCTGCTCATTTTAAGGCACTGGAGCTGAGGGAGTTTTCCTGACTCTTCCCATTTCCCTTCATGCAGGGGTGGTGTTCGCTGCAGGATCTGGAATGCAATCCTAACCCACAGACAAACATCTGGCAACACCTCAGCACAGCTCAACGCTCTGGAACAACACCAAATGGGAATCAGCAAATGAAAAACATTCCCAGCACTTTCATTAGGAGATGTATATATTTCTGTGTACAGTGGCCTTGCAGGTTTTGCACAATGATGTAGCTTGTTTGACCATCAGTGTAACACAGTGAATAATAACAGCTTCTAAGTCAGTGTCAGTGCATTTCAATTATTTATGACAAGACTAATCCATACAATTGTAATAGAAAACATTAGCTAAGAAAAAACTCACCTGATTTGGCTTTACCATTGTGAAAACTGTCAACTTCAAATGTGTTACAGGTCTGCTGCTGATGGTTTGAGCAGGGAGGGGATGTGCTCATTGTAGATGGATTTATACAGCTTTTGTATTAAACCTACTCTCACTGAGAAAAGCCTGGTGTAATGTTTTCAGTTAGTGACACTTTGGCAACAAAACCAGAGTATAGAAATGGCATTTTTGGTGGGTTTTCTAGGAAACAGTTAATGAAAAAACAAAGCAAACAACCATTAGATAAAGGTTGGTAAAGTTTAATTTTTCTTTTTCTTTTTACACTGTACATAACACATACAGCAATCCAAAGAAAGTCAGTAAAGCAAATATATAGCACTTTAAATAAACCACTTTCTCTTAACTTAGTATGTTCTGAAACAACATTCAGCATTTCTAAGAAATTCCATACCCAGATGGATTTCCTTACACATTCCCTCTTTTGAAAGAGCTTTTAAATAAGCTTAAGAGTTGTTTATTATAGTTCTGTAAATGGATTCACTTATTCTCATGAATAAGTTACCCCAAGAAAAAGGCCTTTAGCTGACAGATTTGTACTTTATCCACTGGTTTGGCCCCCGCACTTCAAAGGGTGGCTCATTGTAGTAGATGTGGTGCCCCAGTTCTTCCAGTGGAGGCTCTGGGTCAGTGGTAGCAAACTGAGCAGCTTCCTCAATCTCCTTCCTCACTGCCACATCAATCTCCTAAACCAGAAATGGATCTTATTAGAAGACAGCTCAGAAAAAGCATCGTCATTTTGTATTTGAATGGTATGATTAAGTAACAGTTAACCCTGACTAGATAAAATTAAAAACCTAKAAAARCTCMMTCCCTACTAAASTGCAGCATTTTGGGTAGTACTGGTACCTCACAGCCAGAGGAACAGGACCCCACTGAGCCTCTGCATTTTCTGTTCTGATGATGTGAAATCCTGAGTGTGTCAGTGCCACTGGTTCTTAAACAGAGCTGACTCATTAAAACATTTGCTTAGAGAGGTTCTGACTCCTTCACTGGGATTTTTCACTACTGGAACTTCCCTTTTCAACATTCACCTCCTTCCTGGGGAGTCAAGAAAGCCCAGGTCATTTTGATTTCTACCTGTTAGCAAATGATACCCACAGCCTTACTCCTTACAGAACACACCTTGAGTAGCTGCTCTGCAACAAAACTTACACCTTCACCTCTGAGATGATGTTAAACTTTGAAGAACTTCACAGAAGGAGCAGTGCATGTGATGTGATGTGCCTTTCAGGGATCATGAGTGTGTGACTGCTCAGCACTTTCACACAGAGCAACTGCAGCCATACCTTTAGTTCTTCAACACTGGCAAGGTTGTTGTTGACCATTCTGTCCTTCAGCAATGTAATGGGATCACTTTTGCTTCTCACTTCCTGAATTTCTTCTCTGGTACGATAGCTAGGAGCAAGACAGGCAAAGACATGAACTCTGGAGCAGGGGTGAGGCTCTGGACACAGCTCACAGTTAGAAAAAGGTGTATCCAGAGAGTTGTCAGGGATGCCATGAAAACAGAACATTCAGCACTCAAAGGATGGCACAGCAACAAGCAGAGTCCCCACAGATGTGGAAATGCCAACGGAGCAGAACAGCCCCAGACTCAGGGGAAATGGGAGGAAGCCCAGCCTGAGACAGTTACCCTGAGGGGCCACATTTCCTCTCCCCCTCCACTCCTAGGGAGAGGGCTCCATGATGTGTTACACACTTCCAATTCACTGCAAATTTCCAGTGAAAAGCTGAAATACACCTCTACTTCATGACAATAAATTCAGTTTTATCAGGTAAAGCAATGTCCTGAGTCTCTGGCTGTATTTTTAGGAAGTGTTCCATTTGTCTGGACAATCCAAACTGTTCCTGTGATTTTACCTCACGGGATTTTAATCCTCTTTTAAAAAGAATATTGCTTTCCAGTCCAAGCTTTGTTAGGACACACCATAAGGTCACACTGAAAGAAGAATCCACTAATAGAGAGCACAGGAGTTTAACTGACTTTGTGCCTTTTCTAAACCCACATTTTTGAAATCTGCAAATAAAACAAATGTGTTATATGGCCCCAGATTATCAGCTGAGCAATGAGATGAGTGATCAGCTACTCATAGCAATTTCATTGTAACCTTTAAATGCATCTGAAAGCTGCTTTAAACAATGAATTTCAGTTGAATCTCTTACAATCTGACCATCCACACTGACACCTTCTCAGTGAAAGAAGAATGTGACAGTACCTTATTCCAGGGTCACTCATGCTGTGGCCATGGTAACGATATGTCTGTAACTCCATCACAAGAGGACCCTTCMAATGAAAATRCAGAGTGTTACCACCATCARTGACCAAYTTGTTATATCAGCAAGTATTTGCTRGARATGAACTGCACCAGTGATCAATTATTTTAATGTTTTTTTTCTCAGTTGAATTTATATAACATTAGCACATACAACATCATTCAGTAAAATGAAACCTAATTATTTTCAAATGAAAGCATGTGCTGATATTGTGTTTATTATCACATTCTTACTGAGCAGCACTAAACACTAGCCTTCCTTCATATGTCATTCCACCATTATTCAGAGTCTTTCAAATTACCTGTTGTTTCTCACACAACTTTCATTACTTCAAGTATTAAAAATCTTCAAACCCAGTATTATCCTATTTGGGTGATAGACACTAACACTGACAGAACTTTTACTTCACTTTCCATTTCTTGCAGACAATGATTATTACTTTCCTTGATGCTTGCCCTACCTAACCACAAAGAACACAACTGCCTGACAATCATAACACCTTTCACAACAGAATGCTGACTGTGGTGGAAATGGGAAAAAAATTACAGTATAAATATTCTATTAAGTGTTTGGCTAATACAAATTGAGGAACTACTTATGCAGCAATAGTTTGTAAGAATTCCACCCATGGAAAAGGAATGCCAAATACAGACTTACTTTTCCAGATCTACAATAGTCAGCTGCAAACTTTGCTGCTTCTCGGACACAGAGAATATCCATGCCATCCACCTGGCAATGAGAAACTACACGTTAAGGCAAAAAAATGCCAGCCCCCAAACTCCCAACCTCAGGTGGAACAGGAATTCAGCTTCAAGTAAATACTGTAGAAATAAAAGAAATCCATATGTATGCATTGTGTAGGTGTGTGCACATACATTCCCCCTCAAAAAAAAAGCCATACTCACCCTGAGCCCTGGAATGAAGTATCCTCTTTTGTAGTAGTCAGTGCTGGCTGCAGCTCTTTCCACTGATGTTCCCATTCCATAGCGATTGTTCTCACAGATAAAAATACAAGGCAACTTCCACAAGGCAGCCATGTTGTACGTTTCAAATATCTGGCCCTGAGAGAAAAAGAGTGAAGTTTTATCTCATCAGGGAGCTCAGCCTTCATGCACTAGGCTCTACTGAAAATCCTTCCGTTGCACAGGTCTGCACATTTTAAAAGTGATCTGAAACCACCCACTTGCTACAGTTCAGAAGGAATGAAAGAGAAGCTACACAATATAATACAACTTTCATCTCAACTTGTAGTTTATAGAACTTAATTTTTAAACCTGAATCAGTATCTGTGTTAGGGCAGCCCAAAACCTTCAATGTTAACTGAGGGATTTCAGCAACAGTCATAAAAAACGTGACAATCAACCTGGCAGGATGCTGCTCCAGTCAAGTTTGACTGCACAACTGTATCAGCCTTATTGCTCGGAGTCAAATTCAGGGAAAACCGGGAACTGAGAAAAGTTGGCCTGTGAAAAGCTTTGAAAGCCTCAAAAGTGGGGAACAATCAATGGTACACTCTAAACCACCAACGGCTTATCTGCCTTAATGTCTTGGCTGGTAACATGTAGACTGGCTGGAATGTCAGTAGTAAGTGGCTCTGCAAGAATGCTCTGTCCTCTGAATTTCTACATTGTCAGCAGCACTGGCATCTTCACTGCCATCATTCAGAGCCATCCTTACAGCACAGACACTTCAGAGTGCCACACTTAGGAGAGCTGTGCACAACTGTTAGGAGGTAAAGAGGAACTGGAAACCCCTCCTCCCAAACTCATGCAACATTCATGTAACTAACCATTAGTCTCACTTACTCCCTGAGTATCTACTGTGTACCAGAAGGGAAGGTGCCAGGAAGGTTTCCCTCCACTACAGGGACAAGGGCCAAGCTCAAAATGGGGGTGGGGAAGGACACTGGTCCAAAATATCATTAAAAACTGCAAGCACATGCTACATTTTTGTTATGTAAAGAACAGCTAGCAATTGACTGTTCATCTGAATCACTCCTTGAAACATGTCCCTACTCAAACACCGGACACAACTCAAATCAGAGGTGGCAGTGTTCAAAATCTTCAACATGCCCACCACCTATATGGAGTTCATCAGCATTGCCCGTGTTACAGGTACACAGGGAGGGTAAAACATGTTCTCCAACTCCTTGGAGTAAAAGCAGAGCTCACAGAGCACAGAAGGAAAATGGATTCCCCCCAGCCATGCCCCTTTACCTGATTGGCTGCACCATCCCCATACAAGGCCAGGCAGATTTCGTTTTTTCCAAAGTATTTACAGGCAAGCGCAATCCCGGCTCCGAGAGGAACCTGGCACAGAGAACAGGACACAACAA